ACCTGAATGAAATCTGACCTCTGAGCATACAACCTCAGGGTTTTGATGGGACTTAGTTTTCTATCAATATGCACTTCCAGTAATTCAGTTCAACATTTTGCCAGAAGGTTATGAAATCTCCTCCAAGTTTCAAACATCTCCTATGGTTCATGACTGTGGGTAATGAGTGAACAAACTAGAATATGAACACAAGCTGCTGAAACTGAGCATCTTTCTTAGATTGGCCAGATTAGAAGAGCAGCTCAGCTATTCAGAAGTAGCTTCTCTTCTTCCTCACAAAATACCAGTTTAGGTTGTTTTGCCACCTGGCAAGGATACAACTCCAGACATGTTCCAAATGTTAGAGCACATCCAGAATTTACAGGACCTCAACTCTGTTGTAATAGAGTGAACCCCAGGTATTTGAGAGTAAGGGTCCATAAACTCCTGGAATGGGACACCTGGGTGGGCTGCTTTGCAAATGCCCATCCAGGTAGAATTGGATGGGCAATTCTACCTGTAAAGTAAAGTAGAATTGTGTGGTTGTACTTTCTTTTCCCAAACTGACTTTTCTTTCAAATATTTTAACTTTTCTCTCTGTTGCCCTCTGAGAAATCTAAGTGATCTGATACTTAGGTTATTCCGCCATCAGTTTGGTTCAAAGTGCTATTCTACCCATTTAGCTTTTGAGTGTTTCAAGAACCTCAGATCTTTAATGGAACTTTGAACAAATCCTTCTTTAGAAATGTGGACTGTGGATGCTGACGTTAGTGTTGGGATGTTTGTGCCGCTGCACTTTTAGGCTTGAATAGCTTTGCTGATAGGCCAACTCCTTTAAGCACAACTTGAAACAAACAATGTTCTTTTCCAGCATCCCATCAGATGTTTTTTTGAAGCAGAAATGAACCCCCAGCTGGCCTAGAGAAGCAGTTTTTTTGCCAATCACTGTTGTTTGCAGATGCCACTTGCATCACATTTGTGGATCTACCAGAAACAGGCAAACGCAAAGTTCTAGTTCTGATCTTCTGAAAACAAACAAAAAATGCAATTAATAGCAATGATAGCAATAGCCAACTGTAACTGTAACTGGAATGTTTTGAATGTTGGAGCCTGAGTCTTCAGTTATTCTCCTTACATATCAACAAACCAATGCCTAATTTTCCTAACCACAATATAAAATAATCCAGATAGGTTTTTGTTTCAGGAAAATAGTAGATCCCCAGTAATCACAAGATTATGAACCACAGCGAATAGCTAAAATACACAAGCACTTCATCTACAAATTCACATAACAGCTTACCTTAATCATTCAAACACTAAATACACCTTAATATGCATAAATAAGCATAGTGGCAATAGTATTAGCTCCCCTGCAAAACCTAATATCTACAGTCTTCCTTATTTTTGTTCTAGGAAGTAAAACCAAACTAGCACCAAGGAGGAGGATTGATGCTCCTGATCTGGCTCTAATGCCTTCTCCCCTGTCCTTGCATTTACAGATTTCTTGGTTCCTGTAACTATTGTTCAGGTCAGAAAGACTGGACTCACTCCCCACCCGATCATAGTCATTAGCCATTGTCTGTGAACATGATGTGGCATGAAAGAATAAAGCCACAGTTCCTGTTTCTACAGTGCGAGACAAGCCTGCTTGATTCACTTGCATACACAACACACCCTCCCATCTTAAATTAGACACAGTTATGGTTGACACCAGTCTGGACTCACCCTTTGTCATACACAATCAACCAGAAAGTCAAATCTCTGGTTGTGTTATTTAAATAATTGCAAGAATTTAGCCCACAAAGGTTTCTGAGAATATCATACGTTCCTCTTTGGGCTTTTTGGGTTTCACTATTAGAAGGTCAATTATATAAAAAGGTTACTTTATTTTCAAAGAAGGGCTCTTAACATTCTAATACTTCCACATTTTTTTCGTAATGGAGCATACGTTATATAACATAAAACCAATGATGTTGTCATGTAATAAACTTCAAAACTTTTTATCTTCACAAGCACTTTTTCTGATTTGAGTTGAGAAATTGAGATTTTAGCAGACTTAATTATGTTGTATTTGTTAGCACTGTTGTCTTGCAGCAAGAAGGTTTTGGGTTTGAATCCTGTCCTGGAGTCTTTCTACATGCAGTTTAGGGTTAAATCCTGCTGTGAGATGTTGGATTGTTCCTCTTTCCACAGCTTCCACTGTGGATCTTGGCTGCTGTGCTTGATCTGGGCAGGTTTCTCCAGCCATGACCAGTGCTTCTGCTATCCATTGGTAGGATTTGGTCCTATCAGCCACTTTAGCTCTCTGTCAGTGGTGTAGCTCATGCACCACTGATAGATAGCTGACAATGGTCTCAGTCTGACATTGTTTGATACTTTAACTGAGCGCTGCAGGCCATCTTCTTGATATATTCATATTTTATCTTGGATGGCGACATTCACTAGGCCTCCATTTGTAGTGGAATCTACCATGCACTGCCAGCTTTCATGTCTTAACATCTGTGGTCGGTATTTGCTACTTTGGTACTGTTGTTATACCAACAGTGTATGTGATTCCCAGCAAGGCACAGCTGTTGTTTGCCAGGACATTGTTTTTGCCGTTGAGCTGACTTCTCAGATCTTGCTTTACTTGTTGCAGGTCATGGTTGTTATTTGTCTGTGGTATTCCAAGGTATTTGTAGCTCTCCTCAGCATCTGCTATTCTCCCTTCTTGGAGTGTAATCCCCTCTGTGTGGATGACCTTACCTCTCTTTGTCACAATTGGCCTCATTTCTCCAGCCTGATTGACATTCTGATGTTCCTGCTGTAGATCCTGGTGGTGTGTATCAGTGAGTCAATGTGTCACTCACTCTTAGCATGCAGCTGGATGCCATCTATGTAGAGAAGGTGACTGATAGTAACCCCATTTCTGAGTCAGTAACCATGGGCAGTTTTGTTGTTTATTTGAGTGAGGCGGTTGGGGCCTGTGCAGAACAGCAGTGGGGACAGAGCATCTCTATAAGCCACATGTGATGGAGACTTTTGTAATTGGCTTGAAATTGACCTCTGGGGTTGTTTTCCACAGCCTCATGAAGTTTGCATCAAAGGCTCTTATAATGTTGTTGACCTTGTACAGCTTCAGCCATTGAGAGATCCACATGTGTGGCATTGAGTCATAAGCTCTCTTATAATCCAAGCAATGAACATGTTTGTTTGTCTGGCTTTGAGGTCTCTAGCAATGATTATGTCTCCTCTGGTAGTGCTACCAACCTTTCTGTACCTCTGCCATGTTGATCTATGTGCCTGCTTGTCTTAGTTGGTGTGATGCTTGACAGGAGCTTCCATGTTGTGGAGAAACAGGTTATTGGCCGACATTTGGGTGGGATCTTCCCCCTTCTTGGGGCCTTTCATTCTCTGGACGATTCGGCCTTCAGCCAGACATTCAGGGTTGGTCCCATGCCTCAGCAGTTGGTTCATTTTTGCCGTTAGGTGCTAAATGACACATGCTGCATGCTTTGATGTAAAAACGCAATATTCTTGTGATTTTTTTTGTTCTTATTTTCTATTGGGTACAAAACTAGTATCTTCATCATGGAGCTAGTATGACATTTCCTCTGGTCTCAAATTGAGATCAGCCATAAAAGGCCTGATCCTCCTATCACTGAGAGTGAGCTGCTTGCACTAAGCTTTCTAAACATTGATTGTTGAAAGCATTCAAAGTGTGAGAGTATAATAGGCTTGATTGCGGTGTGTGTAAAATCCAACAACTTGTCATCTATAAAACATTGATTAAACAAAGCAAAATAAGACGTAGAAAAGTTTTTTGGATGCATGAACACATCCTGATCTGAAGGGGAAGTACAGCTGGAAATCCATCATGCTTACAAAAGTCCAGGATGACTAGTTCTTACCTGTTGGCTTTGTGGTAAAATCTGCAAAATACATAAAAGCTCACCAGCACACTAGCATTTTTATCCTTATTAAACATAAATCACAACACAAAAACGATGTGATTAAAGAGATGTAGGGCGATAAACTGCTGCCAACACGTTTGAAAAAAGACTCTTCAGCTGCACACAGGCTGCTAGCGCCGCCAACAGCAGACAGAGGTTTCTATCTTTCACTTTCATTTTATTAATTCGCCTTCACATTCCAACTTAACACCCACTGTCACATATTAGCAGAGCTGGAGAGGCGGAGGAGTGGGGGCGGTTAAAGAGTCATGATGGCCGTGTTTTTCACCAGACTGAATGCAGAAACGTGAGCACCTTTAACCGTAACACAGCTGCTCATTCGAGGAAGCTGTCCAGGAACAGAGCCAAGGAGGAAGCACAGGATAAGTTAGAGGCTGACGCAGGTTTTGACTCACTCTTCTGTGTGTGTGTGTGCGTGTGTATGTGTGTGTGTCTGCATCTGAAACACATTCATCACATGGTTACTGCATGTCTACCCATCTTTTTTTCACACTACATTGCCTGGAATAGTTGTTCCACATACTTTCAGAGTAAGCTGTGTGTGTGTGTGTGTGTGTGTGTGTGTGTGTCCAAAACAATCCAGCTAGGTTATTAGGACCATAAATGTCTCAGAGGGGCTTGGGGGGGATGAGTGGCTGCTCTTATTGGAAGAGAAATGACTAATCTGGTTTTACTGTAAGTAGAGGATGTGTCATGGTAATATCAGCCTCCATTGCCGGAATCCCACCTCGTCCAACTTTTTTGTAAAACAAGGGCATTGTCTGAACACTGATATTTTTCTTTGATAACTTCCTGCCACTTCAAGTGAGGAGTGAGAAATGAAACCATCCCCTCCTTCCCTCCTAAATAGATGTTTTCTGGTTAACTTCAGATCTATAAATAGCTCAGTGCTGCTATTTTTACCTTGCTTTAAATTGGCCTTTTACGATTGTTTATCTGCGTACCAGGAGGAAAACCAAGCAGCTTCTGTTGCTCTGGGAGGGGACTGGAGCTGTGAACTCTTCCCAGAACTGGGCTCAAACAAAGCCAGATGTCTGAAATTCTCCAGAAGGAGATGATTTTTTTTTCCTTTTCTTTTCTTTTCTTTCCAAGAAGGAGATAGGATCCAGAAAATATGACAGGCTGGTTAGTTTTCCGGAAATCCAGGACTTTTGAGGTTTTGAGTCATGTGGACTTGTTTTGCAGATCATTAATGACTTCTGAGTTCATCTCAAAAGTTCCCCAAGTTGGCAACATAAAATTCTCATTAAGACTTTCTTTCACTGGAATTGTAGGGCCAGGACTCTATAACTAGTGATGGTCTTATTAAAATTTGACTTAATGTGGGCATAATAAAAAATATATTAAAGGTAACTTTAAAGGTTTTTATTTTCAAAAGGTACTTTTAATCTGACATGCGAGCCTCATCAGAACACATTCTAATTAACTTAGATGTGTCTGATTGTGGTTTATGAATGTAGAATAAACAGGATCCAGTAATTTGTTGTAATTCTGATCTAAATATCTCTGCTCTAGAACTCCTTTCCTGTTAGCTCCAACCAAACTCACAGACAGCCAATCGCCTTCAGCAGTCATCTTATTAGTAAATAGAGTTCAGTTGTGCATCATTTAGTCTCAGTATGATATTTATACTGTATAAATCCAGCTGTTGTTTTTCTGGCCCCAGGTGTTTAGAGAACGTTAAAGAACTGCAGCAGACGGGTCAGGGAGAACGCTGTGGAGAAGATTAAGGCTGGCTTCTTTGGACAATAGTCTAAGCTTTAAACGTCACTGAGCTCTGATCCATATGGAGCAAAAACAAACCTGCCGAGATATGTCAACTTAATGGAAAGGCTGAGCAAGAGGCTCTGGAGGAGCTGTACAGATCCTCAGCTCAGGTGGAAGAACTTGTTGTTTCTATTCAATGTGCCCGCCACAAATCTGAAAAAGAGAAAACTGGTGTTAAAAAGAAAATAAGTTCCCAAAACAAAACCATTTGTCTTAGTTCACCTTCCAGCAGGACAACAATCTGACATGTAGAGCTTAAGCATATTAAATTATATTCATTGTTATTACAGTTCAAAGTCCAGAACTTAATCTAAATGAGGGAAGGGGGGAGTACAGATACATGTCACATTTTTCTCTTTCTTCTGTTCAAAGGCTTCAGAGTTCAATATTTTTGAAAAGTACGAGACAACCAACGTTTGTCTGAGAATAAATTTAAGCCCAGGAAGCAACACTTAGCTTTCAGACTGCTTTAGGTAGAAAACATTCAGCTCACTATCTTCTTCCTGAGTGTCTTTCTCTTCAGTTTCAGCAGTTAATTGTTTCTAATATTAACTGATTGAAACAAACTTATTAAACATATTATTGAACATCTGATTCTGACAGGTGAACCTGGCCTCAGGACCAGTCTGACCTGAGTCAGTCTGCATGCTGGGATCGTCTCTCTCAGGGCTTTCACTCTGCATGTCTTCTGCCTGGACAGAAATCCACTCTAAACAGAATCTACATGCTCTCTGCAGCTTAAAAAAGACCAGGCAGATAAGATAAACCACAGTAAGACTTAAATGAAAATGATATTTAGATACACGCCCAGCCTGTTGTCCGTATCCATCTATTTATGACCACATTGTACTTTTGGCTACTTCCACCTACATGCTATAAAGTTCAAATAACCCAACAGTTTTTTTTTTACTTTACAATGAGTTCCCTGTACTCCAGTGTTCTCCACAGTCACCATAGATGTGTAGTCAATACATAATGCAGTCATGCCTATGTGGACCAAAATCCTGAGGCATGTTTCCAAGACAGTTTTGAATTTATGCCAAAGAAAAAACCTGTTAACATTTGGAGGCAGATTTCCTGCAGCCCTGGAGTTGAGTGGGCTGCCACTGATATATGTCCTTCCTACAGGGAACTCATCATGATTGGACACAATGAGATGTATATTTCTATCACCCCCTGTTGTCCTCTCTGCACACAGAGGACACAGAGGATTTATTCTTGTCCTACTTGTCACCTGTAGGTTCACCGATGACGTCTGTGGCAGATGATGCACACTCTGCTGCCGCGCTGTGACTAATAGATGTTGCTGTGAGGCGAGAGCATCCTGCCCGTCTCCTTGATTAATATCTCTCTCAGTCCTATTGATCTTTTTTTCATGTCTTCTGCAGTAAAAGCTTTAAATCTCGCTGAGGACGTGTCTGAGAGCAAATCATGAGTCAGAGATCTAATTGGAGTTTTTTAGTGTGACGCTGCAAAACTGGAATCACGAAACGGGAGAACGTGTCCTGACATTAGCTCGCTTTGTGTAACGTCACTTCGACCTCTCTCCTCTACAGAGGCAGCAGGAGGAGACGGGCAGAGCAACCAGCAGGGTGACATCATCGCTAACCGTGGGAGCCTGGCCTGCTGGTTATGCCAGCGGTGCAACTGCGTGTCACTTCCTGGGAGAAAATGGAATAGGAAGCCAGAGAGAGAGAGAGAGAGAGAGGTGACAAGTGAGAGCTTTAACTCCATAATGAAGCCTTTCTCCAGCAACAGGGAATGGAGTCCTGCTAATGTGTGTGTGTGTGTGTGTGTGTGTACAGCTCTGTGTAAATGTGTTTCTCACACACTTTGTCAGCTCAGAAACCTATTTAAAGCTTTTAACAGCTTGTCAACACTTTATTTTGACTACGCGGTTACAGCAGGGACTCCGTGGAGGAAAGGGCCCAACGTCCCCTTTTTCACTGAGTCGGGGATTTCTTCCTCTGAACAATTTTTAAAAAGAACAGTTTGGAGCTGTGGTGTGAGATGGAGAGAGAGAAAAAAATCTAAAATCAGGAGCTGTTGATGCTGTTTGAGTTTGACTAAGCTGATCTGCAGAGTTAGAGCTTTACAGATGGTCTTTCATTCAGTTATTTGGAATATCTTCAAAGATTCAAACATTTAAAATATTATATAAATTCATTGCACATAAATGATTGTGTGTGTAGTGAACATTTAACACCTAACAGTGATGATCATGGCTTACATCTCAGAAACATCCCAATTCAGTTTCTCGTTATGTAATGAA